GTATATGACCCCTTTTCCGACCCCTTCTGGATGCACCTGACTGCAATTTCATCCACAGAGACGTGGAAAAACTCGTAGTGTAATTATGCCCTCAGATAGAGTAAGCATCCAAGCCTCTTCCACTTTGAAAATGCATCTCACCACGCGCTTTCAAAAAGACTTCGCGGAAAGAAGGGATTCGCGCTCACCGATTCTCCATTCACCCATCTCCTGCATGAGACGGCCATCACACCAGTTCCAATCAATCGGCCATCGTGAAAATCACGACAACTCCACGCCATTGCGCGCTCACGAAAACTCGAAAAAGCGGCAGTGTTACTGGGGTAGTCCCACTCACCGTAATACTGTCATTTCTCCCAGCCCAGATCGACGGCCTGGAAAGAAGAATCCAAGCAAATGGGACCTGACAGCAGGGACAACTTTTGAAGTCCCCCTCGCCAGCTTGTAAGTTGGTTGGTACAACGATAAACTGCTGAAATTAAGACGTGCGTTCGAACTCAGGAAGAACCAGATGAACGAAATTCCTGAATTGCCTCACGAAAACAAGAAAAGGGCCACACGCATGCAGAGAAGATTACCATGGCCCCTGCGCACGGAAGAGACGCATAAATCGAGAAATGGTCCAAATTAACTATAAAAAAAAAAGGGAAGATTTGTCTGGCGCCYCTGTATTTTCCATTATTTTGCGTCGCGCCCCCCCAACGGCCGCCCAACCAATTCAAATACCTGTCGAATCTGGACAGGACGGCACTGCAGGTCTCTTTTATTGTCATTAACCCCGTAGCGCCCCTGAAGCTAAAAATCTTTTCGGCAGGCCACTGTCCGTATTTCCRTGACTCCCTCCSTCAACTGCAGTCCCATTCTATTGGGCTCTRCRCCATATGCCCTCACAAGGGGCGGGCATCTTCCTGTACTGCCCCTGCACCAGTGAGGCASTTCAACTTTGAATTGGATTTCGAACCCCATTGTTGTTGACTATACSCCGCCACTATTTTTCTTGACACGCGGAGAAGCTGCTGCAGGGCAGTAGACACTCGTCTCCAGCTGCTTGCACGGCGGAGAGGCGCGTGAAGAACAACCTTCTGTCCCGCTGCTTGGAGTTTTGCCGTCTAGCATCCCACAGTGAGTGTAGGCCGCCCTCTTCGTTCTCTCTCGTCGCCGTTCCTCTGCTTTGTGTTCATGTCTTTCTCTTCCCTGTGAATTTGTGTGTGTGTGTGTGTGTGAGAGAGAGAGAGACTGCCGCTTCGTGCATCCATGCATTGTAGGAAGCTGCCAGGAAGGCGACAAATAATCATTGAGGCAGAGGGGATTGTCAGTCAGTTCTGAAAGAAACCATATCTATATATATATATAAATAGATAGATATGGTTTCTTTCATATATATATATATATATATATATATATCTATATATAATATATATATATATCTATCTATTCATTTTTCTATTGTATAACGAATATATGAGATAATCAATAGTCTATGAAACAAAAACATAAATCTAATTACTAGAAAAAGCACTCACTCATTTATACGAGAAAATTCAAATTACAATTATAGATTATACCATGCAATCATATATATATATAATATATATATATATATATATAAAAACAGAGGCTGCCCAGTAAACCTCAGGCAGAGAGGGAGAATACACAACTGGCCTGGGCCTGCTAGACTATGCTGTACGATCGCCACCTCCCAGCAGCCCACCGCCGGAAGCTCCAGTCTATTGGTGAGGAGCAGCACCTGCTGGAAACCGCGTCCAGCTTCCCATTATACAACAATTTCATGTCCTTAACAAATCTCTGGTCCATTGCGAACCACTGATCAGAAGTGTTGCCTGCCAGGGGCCGCTGGTGGTAGCCCGGGATTTCGGGGGCACCGAAGCCCGGGCCCCTGCTACACCCTGCTTTTTTTCTTTCCATTTTTTCATTAACACGACAGTCTTCTACTGTATGTTACAAACAGGAAGATGAGGAAATAGACAGAATAGGTCCATGGAGAGAGAGGCATAGCAGTAAATACCCGAACTTTCTATCGAAAACACCAGAACCAGACGGACGGCATCATTCCACTATGTGAAACTGGCAGGGAAGGGGACGGAATCAGAGGAAGTGCGTCGCAGGAGAGAAGCATTGTGCTAAATACACGAAGCTTGTTGCAAAACCACAAAATAAAACACCTCCGCGAAGAAGCAATAGGCGATGATGCTCTATTACCCTAGGCAGCTCTCTCTCTCTCTCTCTCTCTCTCTCTCTCTCTCTCTCTCTCTCTCTCTCTCTCTCTCTCT